AAGAACACCATAAATTATTTAAGGATTTCTGCATTTCTTTTGTTAAAGAAATCCACTTTTGTTTAGAATATTTTTTTCAAGTTCCGGATAGAATATAAAACTTCAAGAATAATGTGTTTTGTATAATGTTAAAATAGTAAAATCGGTATATATACTTCTTATTTAATCTAGGAATTATCATACAAGAAAATTAGCTACAAAGAAAGCCTTCAAAGCTTGAGAATTTCCCCAAAAAAATACACCAATTTATTTACAGTGAGTTATTATTGTTACTGCTAATGCCAGGGGGAATCCCCTGCAGCCTCCCTCCCCCCTTCAAGTAGATATGTAGGTAGGCTTTGGATTGGAGCAGCTGTGTGTGCTCTATAACTGTAAAAACACGCTCGCCCACTTCCTCAAGAGCCGGCGTTTTGACCAATTCGTCGTTTTGTTTGGTTTCTGTTTCGTTTATATAACCCCTTCCCTTCCCTTCCCCTTCGAAACGATCGCAAGATCTCCCGATCTGGATCTGGATCTGGATCTGGAGCTGCCTCGGTGTGGGAGACTCCCCCGTGTGAGTGTTAATTTTTAATTGTGCTAAATGTGCACATAAATACACAATAATCGTTCGCAACACACACAACTTGCAATCCACAATTTTCAATTTCAACACCCACCCATAATTTGGCTTATTTGTGGCTTTTACTCTGCTTGCCTTTTTTTTGCTCCCCCTCACTGAATGTTTTTATGTTTTTTATATATATAGTTTTTTGTGTTACTTTGTATTATTATTGTCGCTGGCATTGGGATACAACAGCTGTCTGTTTGGGCATGACTTAATAGCTGATAAATATTATATGGTAGGTCATACACACAGAGAGATATATATCTCAGAGTACTTGATACTTTGCACACACAGAATGCATTTTGTCCAGTGGCCATTAGAGTGACAGGAAGTCCAAGATACTTTCATAATTGTATCTTGTATTGATTTCCTTATCGGTTGTTAGGTGGGTCATATACTTGAAATTGTACAATCATATGTAAATATTTGATAAATCAACCCAAAGGATATATTTAATAATTGAGTCATTCAAACTTACTCATGATGATTTCAGTTCATTTATGGGAAATAAGAATTTCTCTATTAAATGCTTATATACACATCCATGATGATCGAGCAATGAAAATCATAAAATGTTTATGCTTTAAAAAGCATTTAAGAGATTGTATAAACAATCTAAAGCTGCGGGGAATTGACCTTATGATTTATCATTTGGTTTTCTTCACTTTTCTCGGATGATTTTTCTTCTCAAGTGATTTATTTTGCACACCAGCAATAAATATTAAAAATGTTTTAAGTTTATTATTCAGTTGTTCTTTTTTGGTGAGCCTACCTCAAGACAAAAATATAATTCTTTTGATGTTTATGTTTAGAACAAGACATTTACTAAATGTGGCCACCTCCCCTAAGAACAATATTTTAAATGATTAATTTATAATTCTTTTTTGAGAAGATAACAAATTGTATGAGTAATATTTCATTAGGATTTAATTTTCATTTAAAGCTTATAGAGTTCTTTCCCAGAATCTTTCGTTTTTAATATTCATTGGAAATCTATAAATTTTTACCCACATGTATTTTAGGTTTAATATTCAATTTCCCAGTCTACCTTCAGGCAGAAATCAATGCCTTTTCATATTTAAGTTTACAATCATTTATAATTCATCAACTCTTTTCATAGACAACGGTGCGTATGAGTAATATGCCTTTCGTATTTAATATTCATTGGAAGTTTAGATTTATTTCCCGTTTTCTGCACGCAAGCATTCCAATTTGCAGTTATACATATTTTATTAATCTTTTCACAATAAACATTTTGGCGCAACCATATTTTCTCTAGACTCTAGAGCTGGAGGTGGCACCCAATTTGGCAACCACGACTGTATGTGGCATGTGGCAAGTCTCTGGGTTTCTTTATTCTCTCGCCTGCAGCTGCGGTTGCCACAGCTTCTGCTGTTTATATATATATATATATTTATGTATGTGGAAGATGGTAGATGGTAGCTAAGAGATGGAAGATGCTGGCTCATGATTCTGCGAATGGCGTGAACTTTTCCCCTGCCTCACAGTTTTTCCACACTCGCATCCCGCTGCGATTTTAGATTGCCCCAGTCCAGCCTTATGTTTGTGTTAACAGTGAAAAGTATTTGCTCATCGGAACACGTTCGGTTTTTTTGTAGTTTCTTTCGTTTTTTTGTGGTTTCAACAATTGAATAAAATAATAGAGTGAAAAGGTGGGGGATAAAGAAAATATTGAAACACCTTCTTTCCCATCGAAACTGATCGGTTAATCCTAAATCTTTAGCTAAATTAATATTATTTTTAAAACAATAGAGTGGGAAGTAAGGAAAATTTTGAAAGACTTTTAGAAAAACTGACAATTTAGCAAAAAGTTTATTTAAACAATAGAAATAGTGTAATTAAAACTGGATATTTATTGAAAATTTTAGCGGGAAATAAGAAAACTAAATTAGCAGATCATAAAATATATATTTTGATTAAGTTATCTTCAGAGTAAGTTCAGGGTATTTTCCCTGAAAACTTTAAAGTACATTAAATTTAAACCTCTTTAATCCATTTCAATAGTTATATGTGCTTTAATAATTCTTGACTTTAAAAAAAGGATATAAATAATAATTTAACATATGTTTAAGTCCATTGACAAACAACAAAAAAGATTGCAGAAAATATTGAATAATTATCTAAACCTCTTTTCCCCAAACTAATTATTCGTTTAAGCTTCAACATAAAATAAAAGCCGTAAAACACTTTTAAAGTTCGTTGTTCTGGCCTCAATTTAATTGCATAGAATCCAAATAAATTTGACATAATTTCATAAATTCTATTATAATGACACCGACAAGCCAATAAATAAAAACATTATCAGTTTAAAGCCGCATTCGTGTGTTTGTGTACAAAGCAAAATGCTATTAGTGTGTGGATTTAACTCGACTGTCATGTTCTGGTTCATTGCCTGCTTTTAGGCAGCAGCTGCACAGTGCCACGAATTAAGCCCGAAAGTAGGCAATTGTGTAAGCGAAAACCTGAATTTCAAATTGGAAAAGATTAAATTCGGGCGAACATAACAAAAGAAAACCAAAACAGAAACAAGCAACTGATTTACGAGCCAACTGGGATTGCCCAACTGCAGTTGTGCTTAATTTCCCAGCGTTTTGGGAATGTATTTGAGCACATGTGAGCCGCCATTAAGTATTTAAAATATGCATGCTTTAATTGTCAGCCTGCATTCGATTTTTAACTTTACTCAATGCCGTATCCAGCAGTGGGTGAGCACTTGAATTTCACAGATACTTCGATACAATCTATAATGACTGGCATTAAACGCTCGTCAGCGGCGGAATCGGAAGCGAAACAAATCAAAAGTGCCACTAAAAAAGCGACAAAAAGATGGTGAAAAAACCTCCAACAAGTTTCAGAAACAAAGACACTTTGTCTTCGTCATCGAATGCGCGTTTGATCAGCTCCGTTGGATCAAATCTGATCGCGGAATGCTCAGCAAACAAAGCGGCGTTCAAACATCTGAGTTCAGGTGTTGTTGCCTTTTGTTGTCTGTATTTTCTATTGTCGACCCGACGACACCCGGCAGTTGGAAAACTCACAAAAAAAAGTGGGGCGTATAAGGCAAGAATATACTATAGAGTTTTGCTTCAGGATGTGTTAAAAAGTGATTGAGTTCCTTATAAGTTTATGAAACCATATAAGGCTTCTTTCCATTTATATATATTCTTCCTGAAGAATACAGTTTTTTATGATGGCTTTGATGACTCTTATGGCACATTAAAAAGTTATTATTTGGTTATTGAACCATTACAGATTTTATATAAATGATTTAGGTTGTTTTTAAATAAGAAATTGTGAGTTATGAAATAATTATATATTATAATCCTTCTCTTTGTCATCCTGAATAATGTATCAATACGCTAAACTGTAAAGTCAACTACTTCTGTTTATATAAACAAAGTAGCTTGTATTCTCTTTAAAGAAATAAAAATCAAACAACTATCTGTGAAATATATTTAATTTTTAATTTATAAAATTTCAAGTTCTAGCTTTGGGAAGATTAATTACATAAACTATATATGTACATAAAATAATGACTTAATATTAAAAGCTTGTCAAAATGAATTTGCAAAGTTTACTAATACTTTGCACTTGGTTCTAAGAATTTGTAGGATATCTCATATAAACTTTTACACCCTAGTGCCAATTAAGGCTGTACGTAATACGTATATCAGTTATGACAAGTTATGTATTATAAAACTGTTATGTAATTAAGAAAACATAGAGTATGAAATCGTCAACTTATAGCTCTATTTTGGCATTAAAATTCCATCTTTATAAGAACTTGGAGTTAGTTCATCTAATTTAACTCAAAGTGCTCTCTAAATTCCCTTTAATATTACATAATGGGTATCCCCTGATCGAATCTTATAGTTTTTGTGGTGTTCTATTAATTGTTGTGGTGCTTTGCATGCGCGGTGTAAACGCTAATGCGTTAAATGAGCTGTTGATGCCCGCTCGCGATGGCTAATTAGAGCGATTTCCGATGCATAAATTACAAAATCTACCGTTTTCCCAAAAGTCTGTCTGTGGTGGAAAAAAAGGGTTAATTTACATAATACTCTGGTAAGCACCCACGCCGTCAGCCTGGTGAACACATCAGACTCACTCGCATGGCACTCGTAATACATAATACAAAGCGGCTCAAAGCGCGTGGAACACGATGATGAAGTTAATACGCTAAATTGGTCAAAACAAACGAATCGAGCAAAGTCGAATGTCGACGAAGCAGCCAACTGAAGAGAAAGACGGCAACAGCTTTGGTGAAAGAGACAGACGTAAAGAGAGAGAGAGACGCAGAGAGAGAAATTCAGACAGAAATTCTAGTGATCCGCGTAATAACTGAAGTTGGACGCTCAGTTGCTCAGCGGCAGTTGACAGCGTCGGTTCGTGGCTCGTTCGTGGATCGTGTATTTGGCCCAAGGTTAATTAGCCAAGATCAGAGGTCCGAGATTGGAGCTTGGGAGCTGCTCGATCCGAGCCCACAGAGAGAGAGAGCGAAGATCACCAAAGATATCAATCTATGAGATGTCGTTTTTCCGCAATATACGCTCCTCCCTGTCGTCATCGTCACGGGCCAAGAGTTCGCGCTCCTCCTCCCGCGACACGACACCCGTACGCTCCGTATCCCGGCCCGGCAGTGTGATTAGCTCTCTTAGCCATCGCAGGGATTCCACCACTAGCTCCACTTTGCAACGTGGCGACACCTTTATCCTGCCCAATTCAGAGGAGGAGGAGACTGCAGGCGGACACGCTTCCAATACCTCCACCCTTGAGAAAAAGTCCAAAAAGTCCAAGGTCTTTAGCAAGTTCAGTACATTTACGAAGCGCAAAAAGACCCCCTCGCCGGAGGAAGTGGCCAGCTATGAGCATCATCCCAGTGACACCGCCACCAACACGTACTACAAGTGGCGCAGTGATGGAGCGGATCGCCTGCAGGACTACGATGCCCAGTCGGATCCCTTCAACTTCCTGTATGAACAGCATTCCAGTCTGCGTAACCTTCAATCCGGAGATAATGGTAGCGTCCATAGACAGGCCAGCATTGGTTCCAACTCGAGTGGCAGCTTTGATTCCTCCACATATCGGAAGAGCAAGACGCCCACGCTTTTGCGAGAGCAACTGGAACAGCTGAAAACCCACTCGAATGACGATCTACTTGAGGATCAGCAGCGGGAGGAGGATGAGCGGGAAAAGTACAAGACAGTGACTTTAAATAGCTTCCGGAAATCCTTCCGCGATCGCCTGCTGCAGCAGCAGAAGGAGACACCGCACAATCCCGCCTGGTTCGTGGAGGTACCCGCCGCCCAGCAGCCCACGACTAAGACCTCGGAACGCCGTGAATCCAAGGAGAATCGACCAGATTTCCTGGTCTTTGACAATGAGAACTACCGGCCCCAGTCCCGCTCCCCGCTCCGGGATCGTCCATCGCGCTCTGCCACCCGCTCCCCAGTGAAACGGAATGAAACCTTCCGGGTGGCCCAGCCCTCTATGCGTCATATATCCCCGTCTCCGACTCCGGATCTAGTGCCGCCTGCTCCCTCCATTCGCATAGAGATCAAGAACTCTATATCACCGCACTCCCCTGGCAGATTTGTGCCGGTGGGAGTGGCCAAGCCCATGCCCACCACGGAGTACTATGCCCAAAGACTGCTGGCAGCCAATCATCACCAGCAGCAACAGCAGAAACCCGGACTGGGAGTAAGGAGCTCCAGTCCCAGTCAGAGTTCTAGGTGGTACCGCCAGCAGCCTTCACCCAATAGATTGAGTCATCAGATGCAGAATCCCCCACAGCAGAAGGGTGGCCGCACCCTGGTGCACATAGGAACCGATCAGAGCAAGACCATGATGCCTCCTCCAGCCCGAGGAAGGGCACCCACGCGAGTCCAGCTGTACGGAAATAAGCCACAGAGTCGTCCTCCGCCGACGACCTACTTCGGTGGTCACTACAATGCACCTGCCAAGTCCGCTGTTGCACCCAGGGGATCGTCCATTGGAGGCCACACTGTATATTTGGGGCGTCGTGATCCGGCGATGACACGTGCCACCAATAGCACCAGCAACAGCAGTGCCGCCCACGTTGCCGCCCCCATGCCGCGTCGCAACCGATCGCCGATCAAGATGCCCTGGCGGTAGGCGTCAACCAGGCCAATCTATAGAATGGAGAATGGAGAATCAAGAATGAGTGGCTCGGACATATAAAGATATATAATATATTTATTATATGTGATGGCTTCTTTCCAAAGTGACAAAGTCACCGCCTGATATTGCGTCATGATCGGAGAGCTGGAGCTGCGCTGGGAAACGCAGCTTGGCAAACGAATCCATAATGTGCAAATAAATGATTTATGTATCCATCAGTCCCCGTATCGTGTGTTGTGAATTTTTTGTACGTCAAATTATTGTTGTTAAGTAAATAAATAAAAAAAAGTAATAATACAAACGACAACAGATAATTCAAAATGTACGCCAGACCCACGGGGGATTTTTTTCCATTTGATGGTTCCAGCGAACCCGAAAAAGCACTCGGATTTTGTCAGTACAGAATTGTTGTTAAGTGTTAATTGCCAGTTTCGAGTTGGCCCCAAAAAGATGGAACCTACGACGACGAGTACATGTGCTCTATAAAAAAATGTTGTTAGTTCAACGGATATATGAGTGTATATATCGTATATATGACTAACTGTGCATGAAAATGAGCGAGCGTTACGTGACAAGCATTAAATATGGTCACTCGATTTGGCCCGATGCGGAGAGGGTGCGGGCCATTTCTAGTTAGAAAGCAGCTGATGATGAGCTTCTGGCCGTATTTGGTGCTGCAAAAGATGTATTTGTATTCGCAGCAAACAAATTATGGAATAAATTGTCTTTTGCCCGGACTGAAAATCCCCAAAGGCGCAGGGTGATGTCAGCATTTTGCCGTTCTATGCGCTTCTCAAGATGTTTACATAAGGGGTGCATCAAAGGGGAGGGACTTGTCTCAGTATATTCTATAAATGAATATCCTTCTATAAATGGCATTTCTTCTATTAGTGAATCTGTTTATTTATAATCTTATTTGTATGAAAAACTTTGTGCCAAAGGTTATAAATAATGCCGAAAGCCCTTTTGGCATTGGGTGATGTCAGCAGCTGCCGTTCTATGCGCTTCTCAAGTTATTTACATAAATGGTGCATCAAGGTGAGGGGAGGGTTTTCTCTAACTATGTACTATAAATGAATGTTTATAGAAAAATTTATAAATAATCTGATTATTATAGACTTTGTGTTAAAGGTGCTGCCATTTTATACTCAAAATGAGCATCTTAATTCTATAAATGAATTTCCTTCTATAAATGAATATCCTTCTATATCTGATATTTGTATCAAAAAGAATTATTTCTAATCTCCTTATTTGTATCAACGACTTTGTGCAAAAGGTTCTAAATATAGATTGTTATGATGACTTGTTGTTCTCACTCACTTACTGCTGGTCATTAAGTTAATAATATCCGTTCACAATGAATTAAATAAAATGAAATATGTAGTTTCGGTTTAATTAGAAAAATAATCAACAGTCATTATAAAGTTTAATTTTAAAATCTACTACATAATAGAAGAATTTGTTAATAAGCTTCCACCAATTTTAATTAAATAAGTAGCGGGGAGATTTAAATATTTCAGTTGTCATTAAGTTACCAAGATAAATACTAAATTTAAATTTTATCTAACATTTTAGCTTAGAAATTTCTAACTCGTTTACTATTTTTCTGATTTTTATTTTCTAAATTGGATTTGGCTGCCCGTATCCGTCTCTTGGCTGTCCGCTAATTAGTGGATCATTGCCCCAGTCTAACTCCAGCTCAACTCTCTGCACATTTCACTTTCTAATCTGGTCAGCAACGAGGCCAGCAAATCACATTAACTCGTCTCTGGCCAAAAGATACAAGATCCAAGATACTTCTTTAGTCACTCTGAAAACTCTGAAAATGGTCAGTGCAAGCTGAGTTTTTGCTCGAGTCTCTACGCATGATCTTGAACTACATTCAAGCTGAGATCAGTCTCAGACGCACTTTTGTCTAGTTTGTGTTTCGATTGCGTTAATGCTAACTAGAGTGTGAAAAAATAAGACCACTTGGGTTTGCAATGTAAGCTAAAACGCAGATTAACCTTGCCTATATGGCTGGGATTGTGGATCTTGGCGTGATTTTTGCGTGGGTCTGGTCTACCAAACAGGTTGAAATTCGACTTTGAATCATCATCATCATCGCCTGTAAATAGCAGCGGGCTAATTTGCGATCATTAGGTCGGAGGTTTCCCCCCTTCCCAGCTCATTCCCCACAAACTCCAGTTGTGTTCCGTCTTTGCATTTGTTAATTTGTTTTGTATGTTCGGAGTACTTTAACTTAAGTGTGTCGGATTTTTCGGGGTCTGTCGCTCTCTCCCTCCTGTTGGTGGTTTTTTGGGTTGAGTTTTGCAATAAACTGACACTTACTGTGTTCTGCCTGCGCTTTATAATATATACTATATATGCGAGAGTGTATATTTTTTTTATAATACGCATAGATTCATTTCCAAGTAACTGAAGACCGGTTTCTTGACTGTTATTTTTTGCTTTCTGTTTTTTTTTTTGCCGCCAACGAAGACGACGACCTACGGATTTTAATACCCTTTACTGATGGTTTTTGAGGTAAGGGGTTTGGGCCATAAAAAATGTGATAAGTGGGAAAAACCTTGATTAGCTGGAATTTTGTGTAAAATTTATAAATTTAAAATGTATTTGTTATGCATTTTTAGTATGGTTATGAATGCAATGTTTTCTGACTAAGAACTGTTGATTAGATTAATAAATTTATTATATTTAATGACTGAATTTTAGACACATTATTTCGATAATTGCAGAATATTTATTTAAATTTTTATATGTTGCTTTAAATGTCACTTGCCAACATGTCGTATGAGTGATATTCTTTATCGAATAATATTGTAATTATTTAAAGTTAGCAGAGTTTCTAAATTTTTTTTAAAGGGTATTTTGCATCAAAATAATATAAATAATAGATTTAATTTTAAAGAAAGCAATTAATTTTTCTATTAAATGAAAATTGTACACACTGCGTATGAGTAATATGAGTCGAACTTCTTTAGTTACTTTTTTTAATATGAAAAAAACACGATTTAAAACTTAGCTCAAAAATTTTGTATAAAAAGTATGTTTTTAATTCATAATTAATTGAATAGATTCATTGTTTTTGCTTTTAAATAAAACCTGTACACACTACTGCGTATGAGTAATAATCTTGGCATTACATTCCTTTCTTTTTTAAATTGTGAACAAAACGATTTGATATTTTATACTGAATTATTTTCTATTTATAAATATAAACACTTTCCCAAAAGACAAAAGAGGTATCGACCAGTCGATAATTTCATTACATTTGCTCCCATTTTACTGCAGACAAACAGTCAACAACCGGTGGCATAGCGTCATTGTTCGAAAATGTAGTGGCTAAACGGACTTTGATTCCGATTTGAATATATATATATATTATTCGATATATATTTCGCCAAACACTCGGCTAGGTTGTGCCAGAATTTCAGAGTCGATAGTGGGTGTCCCGGCCAGTGAGTGGGTTTGAACCGAGACCCAACCACAGAAAACTGGACTGGTTGCCATTAGTGCCTCGATTTGTATGTGCTAAACTTTACAAGACCGCGGGCCAAAAGTTGAGATGCCAAAAATGGCAATTGCAGCATAAGTTTTCTAAGATTTCTCATACGAATTCTCAGCTCATGTTTATTTATAAAAGAGATTATGAAAATTAAAATGAAATTGGTTCACAGCAGACACAGTGACATCATGGGGACTTGGGTTAGGAGAGACAGAAGCGGAGGAGGCATACAAATCGGTTGATAATCCATGCATTAGATTAAAGCCGATTGAATGAAATGTGTTTAATATCGAATTACTGCTATAACATGCTGTGAAACTTTCGCCTTTCATCCAGCAATCGAAGGATTTATTGACACAGCCATTTGTTTAATTGGTGGCCCATTAATCTGGGCCAAAGAAACGGAGGAACCGTCAAAGTCAAAGCGGAAGACAAAGCGGCGACCCGCTTAAGTGGAAATCAAACATTTGCCCCACAACCCCGCCAAGTTGCAACTTAATGCCAATAATATCCGCGCGTCAGGCGCAAATGTTTGCCCTGTCTGTCTGTCTCCGTGTCTCCTCGTCCCTCTCGTCCTTATACCCCTGACCCCTGACCTCGGCTTGCTGATCCCTGCGCTGTGTGCCCTGTTCCCTGTTAGCCGGCATTGTCATTGTCTAGCTGCCATTTTATTCTGCCGCCTTTCAACTGGGTCAGCATCGATTTTTGGCCAGCGACGTGTCACAATTATCGCTGCCAACGATGGATTTGATGGCACCCAAATGGCTGAAATCCACAAAAAAAATGTATAGGAACCAATGTTGCATTTTTGTCACCCGATCCAAGGATACTTGGTGCTCAGTGAGGTGTAACAATAACATTGAATAATTGAGCAATCGAAATGGAGACTTTAAAAAGTGCACTTTTGTTAGCGGTTGCATGTTGTTACCAACTTATTGTATTGTTTATTACTATATATATTTACTGGTTCAGATGTACAATTGAAATAAATAACAGAAATGTTTTCTTCATTGTAGAAAAAAAATTAAAAAACAGCCAAGAAATCTCTAAATAAATTGTAGAGACGCACAACTCTTCATTAAATATTTGTTTTTAATAAAAAAATATAGTTTATGGTATTCTTGTTTGTCGTTTTTAAATGTTTATGACTTGAAGCAGCTGGTTGTCCCCGAGAAACTTAAGCTTTACATATAAACTTCGCTATTTAGCTTCATAAATATGTGTTCAATATAAGGTCATTACATGTATAGTATTTCTGTCCTACAATATTACATTTCAGTAACAAATATATATTGGCATACCTTGAAAAATTTAAAAATATTAAAAAGTATTACCCCAAGGAAACCCATATACCCCTCAACTCTCTAAATACCTCGCACAACAACAAAAAATGAGCCCAGGCGAATGCACCGAGGGCAGCGCAGGACATCCTGAATATTAATGTCCCGGGTCAAAGCTATGAAAAGTCAAGTTTCGTGTTTATTGGCAAACGCTAAGGATTACATAAATACATATATATCCATATACATATATACCGGGCCGGCCGGAAAATAAAACCAAAACAAGTTTTACTGCAGTTCTCTCGAAACGCGGCACAAAGACAAAGGCAAGTTGGCCAAAAATGGAAGCGTGCCAAGTGCGATTTCTGGGTTGTTTTTGTTGCTGTTTTTTTGGGTTGGTCTTGCCCAGTAGCAGCATGTATTTTTGGAACAAGTGCAACATCCACGGCGGCAA